TATGCATACAATTAAAAAAACAGGAAGGGGGCAAAAACTTTTTCACATCACTGTATATATAGATCAGTGGTTACAACCAGGCACTTACAATAGAAGTTAATATTGCCAATCCATTATTGTTAAAATACTCACTGATATAGACTCATTAATGTAGACACAAGACGTAATAAATATGCATGGTAACATGATTTAAGTGCGAAAAATCTCTTATTATAAAACGGTTAGTTCCAGTCCTCGCTTCTGATTGGTCAACAGCTGTGTTTTATTCACGATAAAGCACAGCTATGACTGCTTCACCCAACCGGTAAATATCCTCCCATAAAATAGTTTTAAAAACATCCAGCATTTTTAAACAAACTGAAAACAAAAACCTTTCTGTCCAGCATTTTATTTTTAAACACACTAAAAAATGTTCTGTATACCCTAGGCCTTGTTCTAATTTTCTGTCATGTTATTGTTGAGGTACTTCAACTCTTGCAAATGTGACCCTGAACCACAAAACCAGTCTTAAGTCGCTGGGGTATATTTGTAGCAATAGCCGACAATACATTGTATGTGTCAAAATGATACATTTTTATTTTATGCCAAAAATCATTAGGATATTAAGTAAAGATCATGTTCCATGAAGACATTTAGTAAATTTCCTACCGTAAATATACCAAAACTTAATTTTTTATTAGTAATATGTATTGCTAAGGACTTCATGTGGACATATTTAAAGGCAATTTTCTCAATATTTTGATTTTTTTTTTGCACCCTCAGATTCAGATTTCAGATTTTCAAATAGTTGAATCTTGGCCAAATAGTGTCCTATCCCAGTGGTTCTCAAACCTCTCCATGAAGTACCGCCAGCACTGAATGTTTTTTTATTTCACATACAAAATGTGCAGGGCTGGGGGTACTCCAGGACAGGTTTGAGAACCACTGTCCTATCCTAACAAACCATACATCAATGGAAAGATTATTTATTCAGCTTTCTGATGATGTATAAATCTAGTTTTCTAGTTTTGACTGGTTTTGTGGTCCATGGTCACAAATAAAAATAAATAAATAAACAAACAAACACCTTGTCGCCCCCTATTGGCGTTTCGATGTAATTTATAGAAAGGGTGAATTAACTTCTCAGTGAGTGATTCTTTTTCGTAAACTGATTCAAATGAGTCGAGTCACTGAGATTATTCAAATCCCCACTACTGCTCTGAACGCCACCTCGGTGGGCGGATCGAAGCACAATTTGTCCCATACTCCCATCATCACGTTGCGCACATGGCGTAGGATGTGACTGCGCCACACCCAGCTGAGCCTGAACTGCAGATCGCAGGGACTCGCTTGTGTAATAGTTGGGGCTACCAGTGGCACGGAGCTCATGCTGCTGTTCCACTGATGTGCCCCCCCCCATGTCCCAATAACAGCAGAAGACGGGCGGCGCATGAGCGGGAGCCTTTTACGCGTTTGTACGATTAACGAACAATACGTGTATTTACAACTCTTGTGCGTTGTGATCAAAGTCAACACTGAGACATTCTATCCGCCTGTTTAAAATGGGCTTGTTTTTATTTATCGCTGGATCTGCCAACCCCACCGAGGCCACTGTCTATGAGGTGAGAAAAGTCTTGTTCAAATGTCTTCAGCCGGTTGTTTGTGTCAAACTTTATTTATACTGTTGGGCTTTGAATGCACGCTGCGGGCTCTACCACTTTTTGACTCGCCGATTGAACATTAATGTGTCCTATCCTAACAAACCATACATCAATGGAAAGATTATTTATTCAGCTTTCTGATGATGTATAAATCTAGTTTTCTAGTTTTGACTGGTTTTGTGGTCCATGGTCACAAATAAAAATAAATAAATAAACAAACAAACACCTTGTCGCCCCCTATTGGCGTTTCGATGTAATTTATAGAAAGGGTGAATTAACTTCTCAGTGAGTGATTCTTTTTCGTAAACTGATTCAAATGAGTCGAGTCACTGAGATTATTCAAATCCCCACTACTGCTCTGAACGCCACCTCGGTGGGCGGATCGAAGCACAATTTGTCCCATACTCCCATCATCACGTTGCGCACATGGCGTAGGATGTGACTGCGCCACACCCAGCTGAGCCTGAACTGCAGATCGCAGGGACTCGCTTGTGTAATAGTTGGGGGCTACCAGTGGCACGGAGCTCATGCTGCTGTTCCACTGATGTGCCCCCCCCCATGTCCCAATAACAGCAGAAGACGGGCGGCGCATGAGCGGGAGCCTTTTACGCGTTTGTACGATTAACGAACAATACGTGTATTTACAACTCTTGTGCGTTGTGATCAAAGTCAACACTGAGACATTCTATCCGCCTGTTTAAAATGGGCTTGTTTTTATTTATCGCTGGATCTGCCAACCCCACCGAGGCCACTGTCTATGAGGTGAGAAAAGTCTTGTTCAAATGTCTTCAGCCGGTTGTTTGTGTCAAACTTTATTTATACTGTTGGGCTTTGAATGCACGCTGCGGGCTCTACCACTTTTTGACTCGCCGATTGAACATTAATGTGCATCTTTTATCCACAGTTTGTAGCGCATGTTAACTTAACAGCGTTCAACTTTCGTTTTATTTCTTTTGCAATCTGATACATCTGTTTGTTACAAGTCTTGCGTGCTAACCAATAGTCTTGCGTCAGGTCACGGAAGTGTGGGACTGTGTTGGTTGCTTACTTGGCAGCATTTTTGGACGTAACATGATGGCCAAAATGCTGTCTAGATAGACACCTACTACCTAGGTTTTTGAGACACGGCCTAAGAGTAAGTCTGGGCCAAGCTAAGTAAACAAAAGTCTACAGTGTTAGCAGTTGCTAACAATTCAACTGTCACACATTTCAAGATTAATGGGCTTTAAACTAGAATAAACTATCAATAGTTTATGTTGTGAATATAAATGAATAAGTGTGTGTGCAAAATAACAATTTAAGTTAAATATAACTGTTGATTCAACCGTTAAGTTGAAGCAGTCATTAATCTACAAACGTAAACAGGCTAGGTCTGTCACAAGTATGATGTGTTTCTCCTTTACAAAGGTCTATGGATTTTGTTATCACTGGTGAAGACAGTGCTAATCTCTGTCTGTAGTTCAAAGAAGTGAATTCATCAATAAAGTGTGCTTAGTGATTTTTTTCCTCCTGATTTGCGATCAGAGTTAGTACAATGTAGGTTTTTATCTATGCTTTCTGTTACAGCAAACTTAAGTTTGCGCCATACTCCGTTTTATTCAAATATATGCAAATATATATTTTGATAGTAGCAAGGTGTCTAGAGCATTTTCTATTCCATTTAGTACAAATAGATCTTCATATTAAAGTATTTTTTTCTACATAATGTGATGTAATTCACATTTTATAGAGCAGGATAAACAGAATATCAGTACAGTAGGCCCTATAGTTTGCATAGTTACATAAACAAGTATGTAGACTGTGTTGTGTATAGAGATACTGGTGTATTTTTTTGTTGTTGTTGTTGTCTACTGGTTCTGAGGTCCAAATTATAATTTAATTTAATTTATTGGATGTAATTGAAGTTCAAAAAGAAATATACAATGTTTGTTTCACTTTTAGTGAAAGAGAAGAGTCATTCCAAAAGGACATGAGCAGGTTCTGATGGTCTTGTAGGCCTTTATCGGTTTGAAGTTCCTATAGGTAGAGGTTGCTGATCCTTTTGTCATTCAAGTTTTGTCAAGTTGTTTGTCTTTTTACATGGGTATCACTATAGAGTTTGGGTTAGCTGTCAGTCTTTGGGTTTTGTCAGTGCATACAGTAAATGCAAAGTCAAGAAAAAGTGATTGGCTGGGTCTGGGTCTGTGCGGGAGAGAAGAACAACACACACACACACACAAAACTTCTTTATAATTAAACAGGGCTCCAGACTAACATTTGAGAGCAGTGGCACCAGCGCCACTAAGTTCTACAGATGGTGGCACCAGGAGCAGATTTGGTAGCGCTGGGGGTGGTGTGCAGGAGTATTAAAATATAGATAATTTAATCATAAAATTACTATTGTTTTGCATTAATAAGTGCAGTTACTAATAATATCACACGTTCATTTCTTGTTTATTTTTCTAATTTTTATTGTTTATACAGATTTGACAGTAAAGCACTTGAGTTAAGTTGTGTGAAATGCTTGAAAGTCATTGAAAAGTGCTTGAATTTCTCTCTCAAAGGGTTGTACAAACCCTGAAATGAATGATGTAATGCATTTGATTATTTCTACCACAACACCATGGTTACAGTTAGCGTTACTGCTTCTGGTTTCCTGTCAGCGCTGTTTATAACAGAGAATTCTGTGCAGAATTTGAATGATTCTCACAAGATCTCGCAGCAATCTTATTATTGTGCGGCGAATTCAAACGCTTCTCACTGGATCTCTCAGCACTGTTGCATCTGTGCAGTAACAGTGTTGCGAAATCAACTTTGGCTCCCGAGTAAAACTGTTCTGAGCTCGGACAAGTTTGTTTGCGTCGCGGTCCAAGCTGATAAACGGTCCGCGCTGCGCAGCTGAAACGTAGGGCGGTTTAGTTTCGCTTTCGTTTCGTTTGATGTTTCTCAAATGCAGCAGAAATGGCAGCGCGTATGAGTTGGACAACGCGGTGGTCGCGCCAGTGCGACCGCTCACAAAAACTAGTCGCACCGGCAGAAAAAATGGTCTCAGTCATTTGGTCGCAGTCTGGAGCCCTGTTAAAGATGCTTCCAAACTGGTTTATAAAGTGGTATAACAAAATTGGCTTCCACAAAAAGTGGTGGGTACATAAAATTTATTTTTTACTATTTAGGAATAGTCAGCATATAGAATTGCTGTATATGCTATGCGGTTCCTTGAAACTTAATAGGCTATTGGCGTTTAATAATATTGAAACGTGGTACTATAAAGACATGGCTCAAAAACCTGTAAATCACTCACAGGATAATGACAATACTGAAGTAGGTTAAAGGGTTAGTTCAACCCAAAATGAAAATTAGGCTGCGTTTTACTCACCCCCGATGCATCCTAGGTGTGTATGACTTTCTTCTTTCAGATGAATCCAGTCGGAGTTATATTAAAAATTGTCTTTGATCTTTCAAGCTCTATCGTTGCGCTCAGCGGGTGTTGCATTGCTTGATTCGTCTGAAAGAAGAAAGTCATATACACCTAGGATGCATCGGGGGTGAGTAAAACGCAGCCTAATTTTCATTTTGGGGTGAACTAACCCTTTAACTACATACTGTCTGTAGTTTCCATCAGATGACCACATAACCTGAAGATAAACCTCACTCCCCAGTTGCAAAGAATTCTGCTGTTTTGCTGAATTGTACTGTTCTGAGAGTATTGTGTAATACCGTGTGCTTTTGTTCCAAATAAGAATTAAAACCTCATGTTTACCCAAAAGACTCTTGAGTTTTAGCTGACTCAGTGTTAGTATTCACCTCTTGCGTTATTTATTAAGATATTTGACATTGCTGAAGAGAATGAAAGCTGGGATTAATATTACACACCGGTGGCCAAGTTAATCAACTGCTGTTAAGTGGCCATAGCCAGTTCAGGTACAGGATTATCATATCATCATATGCTGTCACTGATACTCCACTTCTCACTAAGACTGTGGAAAGCTAGTCAAGTATCGTTATTAGACAGGCTAACATTATCTACCGCTTTCAGCAGCTTCTCATTATAACCTATTAAACTTGAATTTGTTTCTAATATAATGTTTTCTGGCACCGAAACCGGATATGAACAGTGTCCACAGCTGCAAAGAATTAGTTCAATTTGCTATGGTCTACATGCGTCTCTCAAATGTTACATGTTTTCGGAAACTTAAAAAAAACAAAAAAAAAACTAAATGCCATTTATTTGAAAGGCATATTTTCCAGGCAAAACCATGAAAAAAAAGTACAACAAAGTCGGTGTACCTGGATGACGAACTGTGTTCATATAGGTCATATAGAACCCCAATCTTAAAATAAAGGTTCCTTATTGGCATTCATGGTTCCATAAAGAACCTTTAACATCAATGGACCGTTTCCATTGCACAAAAAGTTCTTTATAGAGGAAAAAGTTTCATCTGATTATTAATTCACACTAAGAACTGAATTATTTATTTATTTTTTGGAGAATCCAAAATGGTTCTTCTGCGGCATCACTGCAAAAAAAACCTTTTGGAAGCTTGATTTTCAAGAGTGTGTCTGTGTGTGGTTACTCTGCTAGGACACTTGTGTGAACTTGAGACTTCGTACATAAAATACTTAAAATGACCTCGACACCATTTGGTTGAGGGTAATTGCAAAAATGGGTCAGAAAAGCAGAATTGGTTTTGAGAAAAGGTCTTGTGTCAGTTGTTTGCAGATTCCACATGGCTTGATATTTAGTATTCAGTGGAATGTGATTCATTGTGTTTGGCTTAAGTGTCCAAATACTTTTTTTTGGGGTCACTGTGTGTGCTTAATAATATCCAGAAACAGTATGTCCAGTCTCATGTTGCAGAGTCAGCATTGGTTAAGTGTTTGATGATAATTCAATTTTAAACGATAATACTAAACGTCAGGGCGTTTTATCGTGATTTATCGTGAAACCGGTAATCGTTCCATCCCTAGTGTGGATATTTGTGGTTAGTGATAAATGATACAGTGCTGTGACAGTCCTCAAAAAGAATGTTCTCAAGGATGAGGCACAGGGTCATGGGGCTACACTTGACCTGCTCAGCAGAATGGAGACATTTCTGGAATTCTGTGTCTACTTTGGTGTTGAATCTGGACTTCTATGGCTATGGTTTATGGTGGACAGCTTAGTAATAGCCAGTGGTGTATAAAGTACCTGAAAGCCATACTCAAGTAAAAGTACAGATATCTTACCAGAAAATGACTTTGGTAGAAGTTGAAGTCACCGTTTAGAATATTACTTGAGTAAAAGTCTTAAAGTATGTGATATTTATTGTACTTAAGTACAAAAAGTATTTTTTAAATCTTAAACGTACTTAAGTATTGAAAGCAAAAGTACAAGTAAATGCAAAATGGAAAAGAAGCAAATAAATATATATAGGATATATAATAAATATATATAAAATGTTCATACACAGCTTGAGTAGCAAGATTGTGTTCAATTTAAACTCTTTCTTCCATTTTGTATTTTTGGGTAAGAATAAGAAGCACTTCATCCGGTACTTAAGTGTGCTGATTCATTCAGGAACAAAGCATTTGACTGTGTTAATGAGTGAATCACTGAATCATTTATTCAACCGATTGGTTCAAAAAGCTGATTCATTCAATAAGTAAACACCGTCCATTGCTCAGAGACGCAAAACAGTGCTGTGTGATCTTTGTTTGGAACTATTTTCGTTGGCAAAATTGAGCAAAAACAAGCAATATTACCTCTAAAATGTAAGTCACTTATTGCTTGACTGAACTTGTATAAAATGATTATTAAATGTGTTATCATGCAAATATCTGCAGAAAAACGGTACTCTTTGTGTGATATAGATTAAGTTAACTATATTAAATTGTATAGTATACATATAAAGAGCATACAGAAGCATTTTTGCCGTCCATAATTTAGAATGCCTGGTATTTTAAGTTTTAATAGACTAATAAATCAATGTGCGTACACTCTGTGTGTGATTTGGTGATATAGCCTACTTGATAATGTCAGATCGCACAACATTACAACAACACTTACCATATTATCGGTATATTGTATCGGTATAAGATATACTGTATATTGCACACCCCAGCCTCGACTTTAGTGGAAAATGAATCATCCGCGGTTGTGCGCGCACTTGTTTGCACGTAAGCAACGGTGTTTTTAACTTGCAAGCGCCAGACCACTGATTCGTCAAACCTGCTTTCCTGCAGTCCGTGTTCTTCTGACTTCTTGAAATATAAAAACTCAAGTAAAGTACAGATACTCCCAAAAAATACTTAAGTACTGTAACGAAGTATTATTACTTTGTTACATTACACCACTAGTAATCGCTGTGTTGTGTAAACTGTGTGGTAAAAACTGGCAGCTGTGGTTGCTAGAAGAAGTCGGTCTTAAAACAATATTTTGGCAATGTTTTGAGCATTATGGGAAGACATTTTGGTGCCTGTATATTTTATAGTTCATTTAACATCTTAAACGAACTACTTTTAATGTACTGACTATACTGATACATCATTATATTATAAGATGTAAAATAGATGGTCACGCTGATTTAAGGTTTATCAAATTTGTGCTTTCCATAAACAATGTGAACTGACATAGCTATTCATTAACCAATGTTCCCCACACAGAGGCAAAACATCACATTACTAATTGAACACATAATATGTGACAAAATACCCTAATTTGCATCATTTCAAAAATAAAAATGAACTATATTTATGTAATTTTTGATGTCTGGTTAAATATATTCCAAAATTATATATGAATGTAGTTTCACCATAAATTCTATGGAATTGAACTGCCAAAAACCATATGTACATTCATTTTTTTAAATCTATTTATTTAAATTATTTATATATATATATTAAATTCAATTAAATATATGCATTTAGCAGACGCTTTTATCCAAAGCGACTTACAGTGCATTCAGGCTATACATTTTTTACCAGTATATATATATATATATATCATTATATATTTCATTATATATATATATATATTGTACATTAAACTCAAGTGTTGCTTTAATCAGCGTAGCCAATATTGACATATTTATTAAAATCAGCTAAATCAATAGGCAGTGCAGGACCAGGAAGTACAAACTCAATAGACTATGATAAACATAATTCCTCAAATAAATGTTAGTCAGGCAAGTCAGCAAGCACGTATTGTGCAAGATATTGTTCTAGTGAACTGAATTAGTGACCTAATGTAGGGAATAGTGAATGAGGGTATAGGGGGCGATTTCGGACACAGCCCAGGTTTCAATGCACTTCTTGTGTATGAACAGTACCTTTCACAAAATTGGCAAAATCGCAAGAAAAGCTTAATGTATATCGGCACATTATTTAACTGTACACTTTTCTATTTGTTAGGGTATTGACAGAGCAAGATTATCATATATTGTCCTTCATAATTAGTAGTATAAGCTTGTTTACTTTCCATTTTATTTTCTGTCAAAATACTCTCTCTTGCTTGTCTACTGAGTGGACATTTCTCTGAACCCACCATGAGTGATATAGAGAAAACGAACACCCACAAAAATTGTTTTCCGCTCCATATAAGGTTTTATTATTATTATTTTTTAAATGTAACATGAGTGATTTTAATGTGGTCTTTGTAAAAAAATATAAGATTTTATTATTTTGTATTAATTCTTATTTAAGTTTTAGTTTAGTTATTTTAGTAAATAAACTTAAACTAAATGAAAATGGGAAATGTTGCCTTGGAACCTAGATGAAATAAGTTTTTAATAATTTATTATTGTTTTATATTTTATTGTTTCTGTGAACATTTATTTCAAGTAACGAAAATGTTTGTTTTGTTTCTTAGTCCATCCTTCTTATTTACTGTATAGCAGCCCTTTACATTTATTTTCCTTACATTTCTAGGCAGACTAAAGAGCAAAAAAAGCAAAGGAAGTTTAGGTATGTTACAGGATCTAACAGAGACAGGACAAAACAGTGTATGACACTGGGCGATGTCTTTTTTGTTACCTCTTCATGTTATTTTGAGCTGTCTACTGCCGTATTGAGGGAGCATCTCATTATAATGCAGCCCTCCTTACACTCCTCTGCTGCATGTCATTTTCCGTAGACCAATCCCTGGCCCTTGAGTGAAGTGTGTGTGTGTGTGTGTACCCCTGTTCCTCTCCTGTGTATCATGACTCTTGGGCTGAAAGGACTTTCACAAGGCTGCTGAAGGACTCGACTGTGGAGTATCATGTCTATACTGCAGCAGGAGACAAGAATGGTAGAGAACTGGATCACCAAGCTTTCTTATTTAATCATTAACTGATTCATGAAATTAAACAAACATGCCTTTTGAAGGTTTCTGCTTGTTTTGTACAGATCTAGCTGTTGTCTTTATATTCTTGATGGCAACTGGGTTTGCTTAATGTGTAACTGGATTTACTTTAGAAAGACAAAGAAAGCTGATTCAACAGGTTAGGTAATTGTTAGATTTTGCTGTGCACAGCATTGACAATGTGACTCTATCAAATATGAAATGTTCAGGCAGTTTTTGTTCTTTTATGTTTGGATTTGACATGACAAGTCTTTTTGGATTTTGAAACCAGTGCTTTGTTCAGCGACATGACGCTTTTATTCCCAGATCTAACAAGGTTATTTCAGGTTGTAAACATCATGCGTTGCAAAGATATTTGTAAAATATGTTTTTGTATATTGAATAATATATTTAAAACCCCTTTTTTTAAAATAATGTATTTAAGGTGTAAGGAAAATATGTTTTGAAATTGACTCCACATGCCATTTTTCGAGAATGGTATAAAAATGTTCTGATACATCAGGTTTCGTTTAATTTTTGTTCATTTCTGGACATTCTTATTTGTCATTGACCCACTTTTCTGATAAAATGTTTGTTTGATTCAGGGTTTTACCTGACAGATTTGTTGCTTTATTTCACACAGATATGAACACAAATTGCATCCATATGAGTGAATTGGGAATAGTTGACCCAAAAATGAAAATGTACTTTCCCTCAGGCCATCCTGTTTAAAGAGTTTGTTCTTCATTGGAACAGATTTGTAGAAATTTAGCTTTACATCACTTGCTCACCAATGGATCCACTGCAGTGACAAAACAATATTATAGAGAACTTGTATTTTAGTTGGAAGCATTTGTTTGAGTTGTCTCAATACGTCTCAAACGCAGCTTTTCACTTCTCAAGATGTTAATTGATGGACTGGAGTCGAGACGTTTACTTGTGGATTACTCTGATGTTTTTATCAGCTGTTTTCTGGACTCTCATTCTGACGGCACCCATTCACTGCAGAGGATCCAACGATGAGAGTCATATAATGCTAAATTTCTTTAAATCTGTTCCCATGAAGAAACAAATTAATCTACATCTTGAATGGCCTGAGGGTGAGTACATTTTCAACAAATATTAATTTTAGGGTGAACTTTTCATTTCCGATTTGCTGTTCTAGAGATAAATACTGAATCCACAAGAAATTTATCTTGTATCCTGTTTTTTTTTGTTCCCCAGCAGGTTCTTCACTGTGAGGGTGTGAATAATAAAAGCTATGTGTGTGAGACGGGACACTGTTGTGGAGAGTCCCAGTGCTGCAGCTACTACTATGAACTCTGGTGTAAGTACATCATTGTGTTTGTTATTGGGTTACAATGTTTGCTAAGAATTCATAAAGGCTCGGTGACAGTCACATTTACCCTAGAATGGCAAAGGAGGAACTGCTTGTTACAGGAATGATGATTCAATCAACTTGAATCAGATGTGACATTTCTTCAACATCAGGTGCATTTCCTGATTGTGCTTATTGAATAAATGAGACCAAGCCTTAAAGGGATAGTTCACCCAAAAATGAAAATTTGATGTATATCTGCTTACCCCCAGGGCATCCAAGATGTAGGTGACTTTGTTTCTTCAGTAGAACACGAACAAAGATTTTTAACTCAAACCATTGCAGTCTGTCAGTCATATAATGGAGGAGAATGTGAATCACGGCTTTGAGAGTCAAAAAAACATACACAAACAAAACCAAATTAAACCCTGAGGCTTGTGACGATACATTGATGTGTAAACACACGAAACGATCGGTCTGTGCAAGAAACTGAACAGTATTTATATTGTTTTTTACCTCTGATTTACTGCAATGCCCGAACTGTCCTGAGCACATCCTGAGCGCGTTCGCGTCTTCTTCTTCAGCCGGCGCATGACGCGTCGTCGTCTTCTTGCTTTACGGTGGTACTGAAGAAACAAAGTCACCTACATCTTGGATGCCCTGGGGGTAAGCATATAAACATCAAATTTTCACTTTTGGGTGAACTATCCCTTTAAGAGGCTCAGAAGAACTAAACTGATCACCTCCATGCCACGCCGAATTGAGGCAGTAATTAAAGCAAAAGAAGCCTATTTTGCTGGTTTGTGTGCGGTATTATTTCTTCGTGGTTTATTTTTCTTCAGGGTTCTGGCTGGTGTGGGCCATCATCTTAATCCTGAGCTGCTGCTGCATTTGTCATCATCGTCGCACCAAACACAGACTGCAACAACAACAACGACAGCATGAGATCAACCTCATTGCCTACAGAGAGGTTCACAACTACACCTCACTGCCCTTCTACTACAGTAATGTCATCCTCCTTATTTACATTTTTTTTTTTTTTTTGCTACATTTATTTATTTAGCATTTCTTCATTCTTCAACCCTGGAAAATAATAATAAAATAAAACTGACTTAAAGTAATTTCGAAGTAATTAGGAAATAGTCAGTATGCTTTTTTTTATATGTATACTATGTAGAAGAAATATTTCATTTGCTAGATTATGTTGATTTTATGAGTGCTCGTGTAGAGTAGCAATCAAATGATTTGTAGAAATTGGGGCTGTCAGTTAAAAAAATGTAACCTAATTAATTACATAATGTGACTTACTTTAAATTAATCACATACATTATATGTCAGTATATCTCAGTATATATTCTTAGTATGTGTTTGGATTGAGTGTGAAAGGTTTTCTCAGAAAGATTTATTTGATGGGCTTGACCTGGTTTTGCTGAAAGATGATACGATCCATATACACCTACACCTCCTACTCTGTACTTGCTGCCTTTTGTTTGTTTACCCTTAGTGAGAGCACATGTGAAACACAATCTTATCAAACATTTATTTTGAGTTTTTTTATGCCATGGGATGGCAAGGTTTGATCAAAATCCTTATTTAAGGCATGTCGGTTCACATGTCGAGCATCTTGAAAATGCCCCCCAGCAGTTATTTTCTGTGTAGGCAATAGGCATGCAAATACAGGTGCTGTCTTCTTCCAATCTTTAACCCTTTTTTGTCAAGATTATATTACAGTACCTTGCCAAACCAGCAACAAATTTTGTTAATAAGTTAATTTATAATAGTAAAAATAGTATTATAGTTAGGGATGCACCGATAGGATTTTTTTTGGCCGATACCAATTTTAACAAACAAATATTGTCCGATATTGATCAATTGCCTAAAGCAGGGCTTACAAATTAGAAATTGGTTCACTCCGATTAGAATCGGTATTTGAACGTTTCTGTTCCTGCGTTCCTCTGTGAAACCGGTTTAAGTAGAAAACATACCGGTTAATAACGTTATTTTTTAAAACTTTTTCTTTGCCAATAATAATAATAATAATAAAATAAAAAAATATAAAAAAAAACCCTACTAAGCGCCTATAAGCGTTAATTTTGAGAGGGAAAAAAACAGCCTAAATAAATTAGTAGGCTGTATGTTTATTATTACATTCATAAATAATGTAGGCTAAAATAATGGTAAATAAAAGCAAAATTACAAACACAGTTAGGCTATTTTAGTTCCCTTCTCTCCACAACAAATCCTCTAAAGTTGTATTTAGGCTAAATATAAGCGTCGAGCCAAAACAAATTAATTTAAAAACAAAACTGAAGCCTATCTCTCTCATTCTGCACGAATCCAAATGTTTCCATATTCGTGAAGTATCTGGATGCTAACCTATTATTTATTATGTAAACTATAGGCTTTGTTCTTCACTCGCATTATCGAC